GCCTATAATCCTAGCTACTTGGGAGGCAAAGGGCAAGAGAATCGCTAAAGGAAGAAAAAAGAAAAAAGAAGAAAACAAAAAAACTTCAAATTAAGATGAGTGAAAATCAGTTGAAATTGGAAGCAAAAGTAAACAATAATAATAAATAAATAAAAAAGAAGAAATGGCATCTCACACTGAATGTGGCCAGATGCAAATTCTACTCTTCCTCACCCCAAAACAGTTCTCCCAGTCTTCCCTGCCCTAGTAAGTTAGGCCAGAAACCACAAGGCCAACTTCATTCCTGCTTTGCACATTTCACACATTACCAGCAAATCCTATCCATCAGAACATACCCAGATTCCTCATGACACTGACCTGATACAAACTGCCACCACCTCACCTGGATTCCCCATCAGCTCTGCTGCCTCCACACCAACTACTCTCCAGAGTGACAGACACATCCTTGGTCCATCCCTCCTCTGCAAGATGCTGTCTGATGGCCCATAGTACTCAGGAGTAAATGTCAGAGCCCATAAACCACCAGAACCACTTGGCCCTAGAACCCTTCCCCAACAACTATGCACAGTCCTGGGCTGGCCTACACTCTCTTAAGACTGAATATGCTATGCATTTACTTATTTTTCTTATAATAGCACTTCAATATTTATTTATTTTTTTGAGACTAGAGTCTCACTATGTCAGCAGCCCCTGTAGCTTGCTGAGTTCAGCAGGCTGGCAAGTTTGAAACCAGCCTGAGCCAGCTAAAGCAACAATGACAACGACAACAGAAAAATAGCTAGGAATTGTGGTGGGCGCCTACAGTCCCAGCTACGTGGGAGGCTAGGCAAGAGAATCACTTAAGACCAAGAGTGCCATGCGTGGCGTCACAGCTCATAGCAACCTCCAACTCTTCGGTTCAAGCAATTCTCCTGCCTCAGCCTCCCAAGTAGCTGGAACTACAGGCGCCTGCCACAATGTTCAGCTATTTTTATTGTTTTTGTTGTAGTTGTCATTGTTGTTTTTAGCAGGCCCAGGCCAGGTTCTAACCCACCAGGCCTTGGTGTACTTGGTCGGTGCTCTAACCACTGAGCAAACGGATACCGAGCAGAGCACTTCAGTGTTTAGCAGATTGTTTTTTTTTTTTTTTGAGACAGAGTCTCAAGCTATCCCCCTGGATAGAGTGCCGTGACATCACAGCTCACAGCAACCTCCAACTCCTGGGCTTAAGCGAGTCTCCTGCCTCTGCCTCCCAAGTAGCTGGGACCACAGGCGCC